GATTTACTAGCTTGTCTCCTCAGCTTTATCACAGTGGTTTCATGAACCAGCAAACCATGAAGCAGAGGTAGAGGCTATGCAAGGTCCCAGTAAGATTGACTCCCTTTCCCTAAGGTTTATCTAGTCGATAACAATGTAAATGTTAATTCTACCTTAAGAGGTAAAAATTACTGCACCCTCAGTAGGATGGCATCTTTCAGGGGGACAACTGATTTCTTAGAGGCAAGTTATTTATAACAAACCTATCACCTCTCTGAAGGGGCAGTTATTTTTCCTTACCAAGATGAATATAGTTTATGGATAAAGACTCACCTTCCTTGCTAACACTGCTTTTGACAACATCTCCCCCCATATACTTACAACTATCTGACAATATAGACCTGACACAACAGCATCTAAAATTAAGAAACTGAAATTTTGGTAGGGAAGATGAAAAGATGAATAAATGGTCAAGAAACTGACTGATTCATAAATAGCACAACATAGAACCTTTTCGACTGATAGAAAATTGGAGCATTAGGACCAACTTGGGAATAATAACCTGTAACAGTAAGGTACTGTTCTTTAATATATATTATACACATGAAACTATTATTTTATGGTGCTCTGAGTCCAAGAGCTAGGATCCATAATTCCAAGAATCAAGGGCTGGGGTGTTCTCATCACGATTGTAGAAACATACCTGGTGATTTGGGGGCTTCTTATCCCAGTAACTTTAGTCTCTGTGTGGTTAAATGTTTCAGCCCACAGGCCCACAGTAAAAATCCTTGTGGGTTATTTATCAAATAAAGAAATTGCTATACTAGGTATGATCCTCAGATGTGATTACAGTTAACTCTTGACCAACACAGGTTTTAAAATGAACAGATCCTCATATATGTGGATTATCTTTGATTGATACAGTACTTTACTGTAAATATATTTTCCTTATGATTTCATTAATAACATTTTCTTTTTCTAACTAATTTTATTTTATGAATACAGTATACACACACACACACACACACAAAATACAAAATATGTGTTAGTTGACTGTTTATATTATCTGATAGACTTTGGTCAACAGTAGGCTATTTGTACTTATATTTTGGGGGAGTCAAAAGTTATACATGGATTTTTGTCTGCATTGGGATTTGGTGCCCCGACCCCTGCATTGTTTAAGGGCTACCTTTATTTAAAAATCCAGGATAGCTGATAACTTATAGGGGCTGGATGGATTGTAGTTAAACTTTCTTCCCCCTCTTCTCCCCACCCTGTCCCCTCGTGGGGACATGCCTGTGGCCTGCTGGGAGCCACACTGGCCTCTCTGGATGGCAGTCACAGCAAGGAAATGTCAGTGTTTGCATAGCTCCTGACATGAGAAATGAAAACTGGTATCTCCTTCTGCTACTACTGGCTCATGTTGGAAATGAGCCTGCTGGTATTGACCAGGCCTCATAATATTCCATATCAGACCAATATTCTGAACACAGATACCTCATAAGGAAAAGCATATTCCTGCTTTTAGATGAAAGCACTGTGGATGATTGTCAAAAGGCTCTTCCTATGGGCCTTGCAAATCCAAGACTTAGATAATAAAGGCAGTTAAGAACACAAGAGTTACAATTGAGCCTGGCCCTGAGACATAGAGCCTAATTTAAAGTTAAAGTACAGATAAGGGCAGAACATAGTTACTACATATATCTTTGCTAATTGATGAAGCATAGCAGTCCCTTCCTCAAGGCCTACATTCCACAAACACCCTCCCTTATACTGGCAGCTGGGATGAGGATAGATAAGAGTAGCTAAAACATAAACCCAGATGCAAAGACTGACACATTTATGGCCCCCATGGTGGTTGCACATTCAGCATCAAGGAAAAGGTTTGCTCAAGTAACTTAGGAATAAGCCTAATATGCATTCTTCCTCTCGTGATTAAAAATTGTCTAGAGGCATACCCATGCAAAATAAGATAAGTTTGTTAGTATCTTAATCTGGGGGGCTGACGTCAAGAATATGGGGAGGTTCTGCAAGAATACTTTTGTAAAGCCTGTTTCTGTATAACTTCCACTGATCAAAGCATCTTGTTACAAATAACTAGCCCCTGTAAAAATTCTGTCTTCTGATGTCATGTTATTGTTGAACCTTAAAATAAAGACACCAAAACCGACAAGATGGAGATGCCTGCCTGGTGATCAGAAAGGATCTCGGGGCTCTCTCACTCTCTCTCTCACCCACACCGTCCATCCTTCAGGGACCCCTGGACCTGCTGGAGCAGGCCTCCGACACATGCCCTAGACAACAGCCTGTAGAGTAACAAGCAAGATAAGTCCTTGATATGACTTTGAATAATTTCCCCTTCACCTCACCAGGCATTCCCCTTGGCCTTCCTTTTGTAAGTGCCCTGTGGAGCTTACCAAAATGCCAGTCTTCTTAGTTTGAATTAATCAATCTGGCTTCGTCTGAGAACTCTAAAGCACTCCACCCATGGACCCTAATAAAGGCATGTGCTCCAGGTCCTAAGAACTACCCCTCTCTCTTTGCACTTTACCTTGACTTCCCTGTATGGCCTCTCAAGAGGTCCCATATATATATATGCTCTTCTGGGACCTGTGAGTAATAAAGTTTTCTATTTCAGTTTCTCTTGTGGCCTGTTGTTAAATGTATGACTTACCATCTAGCACTCTGTGCTTAACAAATGTTAATTTAACAAAGACATAATGGAATGAATTTTGTATTTCATTATACCACCTCAACTAATAATAGGCGAAAATATATGATGCAAAATGATAACAACTTTAAGGAATATTATTAGTGAATATTTTTTCCTTGAGATTTACCTTCATTAATTTCTCTTATTATTAGATATGTTGTGACATTTTTCTTGCGCTTTATTGATTATCTATAAATTGCCACAACTATTTTGGAAAGTAGGAAAATCTAAATAAATGAATTAAAAGCTTTTTTGCCCTCTAGATATATAATATTTCTTATTTATTCTTCCTGTAATAACTATTATAAAAGAGTAAGACTGAAAATTTAAATGTGCAATTTATGCCAGAATATTACTAACATCTATGAGCTTTCTCCATATGACTACTAGGGAATTAATTTATTGAAATATAATATGAAATCACCTTGTAAAATTCATAAATTTACTGAAAACATCATCTTTATTTTAAAACTGAGCTTACTAAAAGCTGAGCATTGTAGTTAGTATTGTCAGTTAAAATAATATTTTCATTTAAGCTTCTGTCATATCTCTCAAACCATCTTAGCAGTAAATTTAATTCCTTCCAATAGAAAACACAGTGAAATCCATTAACCATGATTTGCAAAGGCTGGAAAAGAGTTTTTGGAAGACATGTTTTGCTGATCTCGATTTATTTCATTTTTATTTTTCTCTGAGTCTCTTACACCTGTTTTACTTTCCTAAAGAATTTCCAATATTATAGTTTCAACTTTTGTTCAGGAGAAGTGGGAGAAATTCTACATATGTAGTAGGGAAATTAAGACACATGCTAATGAGAAATAGACGATATGGAAAAAAATAGAAGAAAATCAAATTAAGTATCATTTTAATTTTTAACAAAAGCTACTTCTTTAAGAAGCAGATCTGGTAGGCAACTATAATGTCGTAACTTAAAATGCAGAAAGCAACCTTGTTCTCAATACATCTCCCCCATATCTTTTATACTTTAAATTCTGGAGACAGAGAATTTTTCTGTGAAAGACAGAAGTTAAAATGAAAAGTCCATTGGGATAAAAAACAATTTTAGGTACTTTTTAATGTTTTTTGTTCCCTAAGATGGGACTAAAATTAGTTCCATCACAATTATTTAATATTATTAAAAATTAATCTATCTGAAACTTTCAGAGTGCTTTACATCCATTCTTTATTTGTTCAGATTTCCTTCTGCTTCAAAGTGTGTTTTCTGGCTCCTTCTCTATGCATCCTCTTAATTTTGGAAAACTTTAGGTTTCAGTCCTAATTCTTTTACTCTTCTTTCTTCTGTTTCACTCCCAAGAGGAAAGCAATACTCTTTGCTTTAAAAACACATTGCCAAAGATTTCCAAGTTAATATTTCTGGCCCTGGTTTGTAAACTGAACTTCACATCGATATAACCAACAACCTACTGGAAATCTCAGCTCGATTTTCTTACAAAGGTATCAAACTTAATGTGGAAAAAAACACAACTTTTTACTTCTCAGTTTCTGTCTAAAGACTTCTTAACATGGATTTTCTTCATCCTAGTAAACAGCTACATCATTCATGCAACTGTTGTACCCAAAAACTTATGAATCATCATTAATTCTTCACTTTCCTACGTATCTAATATTAGTAATTAGCAATATTAGTAGGGCATTAGTAAGCCCTAATACCTTCACCTAAAACATATCGCAAAGAAATCCTCACAATCTTCATATTTCTGTTTCTTTTTACCTGTTCTGTGCTACCTGTCATCTTTCACTTCATCTAACTGCAGTGGTCTCTTAAATGGCTTTACTATTTCCAATTGTGCCTCTCTTCAATTCATTACATTCTTGTTTTTAAAAGCTAATGCCTTTACCATTCTCTTGAAGTAAATTCCAAGCTTCTGGCTACAGCCAAAAAGCTATGCTCATCACCATCACTGCTGCTGCATCTCAGAACCATAACACATCTTTGTTCACTGATATCTAGCCACATTGGTCTTTTGTTCCCTTGCCTGCCAAATATGTTGTTGCCTTTGAGTCATTTGTCTTTACTGTTACCACAGTGCAGGAGGAAATTTTTTTTCTAGATTTAACTAAGTGTAAATGTCCAGTAGTGTAACTGAATTCCTTGCATGGATCTTGTACGTAGTTTTATTTGCTGGAATTTCACAATAAAATAACTGGTGAATCCTTTTGGTTGTAGTAACTGGGAATTCTTCATTTCCTTGAGGTTAATCTCATAACAAATAACAAGACAAAGAGATAGTACCTTCTCTGCAGTTCTCAATAGGTTTGTTCACTTTTTTTTTTCCACAAGTTAAAGTATTGATGTGTTTAAACTGTACATTCTCCAGAGATCAGATTAAAGAGTTTGTGGGTGAACTTTATCTATGCATAGTGGAAAGACACATGGATCAGGTGAAGGAGAGGAAGAGAAGAAAAAAAGCCACAGGGAAATAGAAAAAAATACCCCACAGGTTACCAGAACCTTCAGAATTAAAAAAAAGGGGGGGGGGGTGTTGGAAAGAAAAAAAGAACAGAAGAAAAAGAAAAAGCTGTGAGTATCATACAATCATCACAAAGACTCAGGTGAAGGGAACAATCTCCAAAAATTTCCATGGTGTCTATAGAGCATTTTGCATAAAATGTGGAACATCCTCCTTGCACATCAAAGCAAGCTCCCCACCTTCCCTCTGGGCCTGTGGTCTTCTCCCAAGAGCAGAGACACTGGTGCCCGGCGAGGCGGGCAGAGAAGTCAAGGAACAACAGGGAGGGATGAGGACCAATGCCTTCCAGAGAAAATGTCCAAAGAGGAAAAGATAGCACATGTCGATGTTACTTGGAAGTGAGTAGTAAACAGCTACAGCCACTAACGGCAGACAGTGGAAGGACGTCATATATAAACTACAGGCTAAATTCTGTGGAAGAACTGGATTTAGAAGGAAGGTAATAGTGGATGCCCTAACCTGTATATGTGAGGCTTGCTAAAAGATGCAGGGGCTCAAATGCTTCTAACCTCTTTGCTGACACCAAAGTACCCATCACTGGGAACACCTGACTTCCAAGAAACTGTTCCTTTAAAATAATTTTGCAAGGGTATCATGATGTGTTTGAATGGTCAATTATGGTTCCCTTTTATGTTTTGTTTCTGGGTAACTTTCTGTAAGCTAGCTCATATAAAAAGGGAAAACTGTTTTGGCTTTTTTCCCCCTTTTTTCCTAATAAAAACCAGGACAGTGCATGAGCCTAAAGGAGTGATTTACACAATGCAGCTGGAATGGCCTGCATATACAGTCCATCACTGAAAACCAACATTTCCCATTTGCAGAGAGCATATGTGAGACAATACAATAGAAGTGGGACATCTGATTAATTTAAAAAAGAAAACTACATCAGTCAAATATCTGCAATAGATCATTTTTTTCATTTCATTTAAGGTTTATATGTCATATATTGTTATATTAATATTTTTCACCCATTTAAAAGAATGGAGATTGTGATTCTACAGTAGTACTTTAAAGTCCTAATGATCCAGTAGGTCTGCACATCAGATGAATCCTCTGGAAGGAACTGTTGGGCCAGTAGCTGATCCAAAACACGGGACCCCTGCTGGCTCACCTGCAGCGCCTCCTCCAGCTGGCACTGCCGCGTGCTTTCTCCCGCTTAAACCTGCATCTGCTCCAGGTATTTGTAGGTCGGGTTTTCATAACCATAGTTCTACATCTTGTTCAGGTGATGCTCTTCTGCGGTGAGCATTGGGTCAACCTCCACAATCCCGTGGCTGATGGGGCCATACTGTCTCTTCGTCAGCATCACCAGGCTGATGACTGTGACTATGGCAATGGCCGCTGTGATGACCAAGAGCCCGATGAGGGCATTTTTGCTCAGACTGAAGTCTGTTCACAGCTACCGAGGGAAAATAACAAGGAGTAAATTTTTAAGTTTTCTGTGACATAATTGTCAAAAAATTTTTCTGGTCTGTCTAAAATTTGACACCTCCAAAAAAACCCTTGATTTTGAAGTATGCTCTGATTAGTAGTTGTATGAAAAATTGAGTGGAATTGGGCATGGCTCTAAGTTTCCTGGCAATTAAAGAAAAAAATTCTCTTTAAAATTGGATGGACAGCTGACCAGTGGTATTTTCAAAGCTACAAAGGCAAAATGACCAAATGCTGTGAATAAGTAGGGACTTTTGGCTGAAGAGAAAAACTTTCTGCAAGGATAAACATGAGAAACATATTAACAAAAGCGGCCCAGAATTTTATAACTAATATTGTCACCACAGTTACTGGAAGTGATTCCTTCTCACCCCCTAGCAGTGTCCCTGTTGATGCCTGTCACTCTCTAAAGCAGGGGTTAACATTTGTTTTCTTCCTGTCAGATAGTAAATACATTAGGCTTAGTTTGCCATTTGGTGTGTAACATAGAAGGTAAAACATTCAATGGTTACCTCTTCCTGTAATTCAGACTTTCCTTGATATTTGATTAAAGGCAGCATTTTTTTATTTGCTAATGTATCACCCAGTATAGCTTTCTTTAGAGCATTCAATTGCTATTAGAAAGACTTCTGTTTTTCCTAAATTACCAATCTCAGTTTCAGTAAGGATTAGTCCACTGTCCTTCTCTATAATTACAGCAACTAGAAAAGTTTCTGACAGAGAGTAGGCACTATAAAACTTTTCATGAATAAAGGAATAAATGAATGAATACCATTTTCTCTATTTTTAAATGGCTTATATTAACATGACAAAATATTAATTATTTAATGACATATTTTATGAAAAAATTATGCAAATATTTTGTAATATCACAGGATGTGTGATGAGTCATCTCAGTTAATCATTCAAGGAGAGAAATGAAGATATATTGCAGATCCTCATTGTGCATTTGTAACTTTGTTAAAAATTGTGGAAATAGACAATAAGTCTAAAATATTAAGGAATTTAAGATCTTAGTTTGTCTCAAAGGAATATATTTTATATTCCTTTAATTTAGCTAATCTTGGCTACAAAATACAACTTCAACCTCAAGGTATTAAATTATAATAACTATTCTCTGTTTCTGAAATAAGTGATTCATGAGATATTTTCATAGGATATGTTTCAGCATTTCTCACAGAAAGTACTCCCTGGTTACAATAACGTGGGGAATATTTAGCTATGCCCAGTAGCAAAGTTTTTTGCCATAGGCATTCTTATAGCTTTTATAACACTAACCTCCTTGAGTCTCCAAGGGGAAATGTACCCTCAGTGTTTTCCCATGGGACTTTAACCAGGAATCCTTTCTTGCCACGGCACATATCACGATTTGGGGGAATTCAGAACATGGTCTCATTTTATCTCCAGCATTTAAAATTATACTTCAATTAATATTTTGACCTCAGTATCTAAAAAACATCAGTCCTACCTCAGGGCATATGGGTCTGGTGGGTGTGGTGAACAAATACCAATGTGAATTAAAACAAAAACACAAAATCCAGTTCTGACACAGGTGACCAAAGTTGTCTAAATGTCATTTCCAAATTATTACCTAAAGCTTTTCCCAAAAGACACTTAAGTGTGAGGTTTTGTATTAATATTACAGAGTCAGGGTGGTGGTGACATCCAGCTAGGGTGAGCCCTACCTGGGGACTGAAGGGTGACCCAGGGCTGTTGTCAAATCTTGGAACAGAGGCCCTGGACCCAGAAGACCAAGTCCAAAGCAGAAGCTGCTGCTGTGCTGAACCTGGCCAGGAAATCTCTTTCCATCGAATTCTAACAGAGTGTGAGCTAGAGGCCTGCACTGCTCTGCTCCCTGGGGTGGGCACGTGTGTGGAATGTGTGCTAACCAATGAACCTGGACAGGCACACACGCCCAGGCGTCTGCTTGTGCAGGTGCAGATGTGAGTGGGGCACATGACACCCTCCAGTGGTTCTAGTCCTGGCATGCCGGTCCCTTCTACCATTGCCAGTCCCAGTGCAACTTTGATAGGAAACAGTTGATTTCAGCATGTTTGTAAGAGGAGTGCGGAGATGGGGGAGGTGGGGCACGGGGATGGATGAAGTGAGTGGGGCATATTGTGTTGTTATCAGTTGCTAAATGATCTGCTTTTCCACGACAGAACTCCTCATCTGTCTATTTGAATTGCTGGTGTCTGGCATTTCACAGTGATGCCCACTCTTAAATTTTATGTTCAAATCCCAGTTTAAATGGTTATTTTCATATAAATTTATGGTAATAAAGTGGACTTGATGTAGAGGGAAAAAAGACTCAAGACTTTTACACATGGATGAATCTTCACAAATGACCAAATGAGGTCAAAACATGCAAAATTCCAATTGTAAAATAAGTAAATTCTGAGGGTTTAATGTAAAGCCTGGTGACTATAATTAATAATGCTGTATTATCTATTTGAAAGTTGTGAAGAGAGTAGATAGATCTTAAAAGATCTCATCACAAAAAAAATTTTTTTGAACTTCACATTTTTTAAATTTAAATTTAATTTCATTAACATGTGAAAAAAGAAAATAAATTGTAACTATGCATGGTGGCAGATGTTAACTAGACTCATTTTGGTGATAATTCAAAATATATACAAATACTGAATCATTATGTTGTATACCTGAAACCAATATAATGTTAATATAAAATTATATGTCAATTATATCTCATAAAACATCTATTTAATTGTTGCATATCATTCAATTATTGACATTAATGTTATTCTGAAGACATAATGAAAATAATGCTCCTCAAAAGAGAAAGGTGAATATTGATTACCCATAGGACAAAGCTGTCTTTATTCTTTTCATCTTCCTAAAGATCATGTTTGGGGTTAATAGGCTCTGTCTCTTGTTTTACTCTTTTGAAGCTTGTGCTCCTGAGCCTGTGAAGATGGTGGGGATCTGGAAGTGTGAATCTCCTTCTTCCAATTAATCTCCGACTTCAGAGAGCACCAAAAGACACAAGGAATTGATGAATACCTTCCCAGTTGTGGAAACAAAAAGAGCAGTCTGAGAAGCAGGTGAGAAGGGCATTTATGACCCTTTTCATTTTCTTAAGGTCCTGGTCCTGATGATCCCCTTAGCTGGTCCCTCTCCCTCTGGGAGTTACAACTCCCACATGTTACAAGTAGAAAACCAGATTCTAGGCATCTGTGTTCTACTCCCTGTTCTCAACCCATCTCCCGACCACCAACATCATCAATCTGTTGATTCCTTCAAATGAACCAGGACCAGAATGCTCAGGAGATTGTACCTCCTGCTCTTTCATTTAGGTTTCTTCCCACTTAAATTCTCAACTCCTTTTTAATACTCTACAAAATTATGAAGACATCTGGCTCACCTCTGAAGGGAATCCCATGATGGATATCCTTGCAAACATCCAGTGAGTGAGGATTTACTTCATCTACCATTGCTAGGTGAGACAACTCACTCATAAGGTCTGAGTGGATCAGAGCCACAGGG